GAGTCCTGGAATCGATCAATGGGGGCAAGGGGAATAGCGTTGCAATCACGGTGCTGGTCTCCGTAGCTTGAGCTGTGAAGTTTGCTGACGATGCTGTGTGAACCTGTGGGGTCGCACCGCCAGATGCCGAAATCTCTCAAGTTTGTACTTTCGCTGTGAAGCTGTTGAGGCTGAGAAGCCGTGGCTCGCAGATCCTTTGCTGGTGAATCGCGAGGCTTTGCCTTTGTTGGGTGTGCGATTGTGCCATGCAGCTGAGTAAATGCGGAAGGGAGGCTGAAGCGTCTCCGGCTTCTGGGAGGTTTGGGGGAGTGACAGGGGCTTTCTCAGGGGAGATCATGACCGTCAGGCAGTGCAAATGGGCTCAGCCTGTCTCGCTGGGCGTGGGCTTCGGGCATCTGCCCAGTCTCTCTGCCAGCTGCAACTCGGACTGAGAACTGGCACGCACAGTTTAAACGCATCCTACATCCTGCATCCTCATGTGGCATTAGGTATTCTGCAGAATTTGTGCCGCCGGAGATGCTGCAGCACAGCCTCCAGCCTGGGAAGAAGCTGCGGTTCCGCAACTTGCTTCCTGGTAGCACCGAGCATGTTCGGCCTCATACTCCCGACCTTTCACGTTATGGACAATATGTTATGCCATTATTCTATTTCAGTCACAAGTTTACAGAAACTTATTGCCTTATTACCTTCTTATCTTACCATACGGCGTTTGTACCCATCTTCAGGCCGGAGTGGTGGGAGTCCCTTGGAGTTCCCGAGCGCAGTGTGGGTGGTTGGCAGCTCTTCCCCTTCACGTCCCAGAAATCTGGACATGTACAGGGCTACGGGTTTGTGGATGGGCAGACAGGCCGGCCAATGTTTTTTGTTTTTGTTTGTAAAGTCGCGCTCTTCTTTCGAATGCAAAGCATGAGTCAACAGTCAGTCAACATGGCTCACCGCGATGAAAAACACAGGCTCCCTTTCCATCCGCCTGCCCCAAACGACCATCGTGGTGCTGCTCAGCTCCGTGTCAGCAGAGACTCGCCACGCTGGCCGCGAACTGCTGGACACCATCGTGGCCGAGCTGGGTCTGGAGGCAAGGCGAGCATTGTCAGTACACATGCAGTCGCAAACAGTGAAGCTTTTTGCCTTTGGGAATTTTGGGACAGGCTGCTTGGCCGGCACAGCCACCGCCCTTGCCCAAGCGTGGGACTTCAGGAACTGCCACGGGAGGTGGCGCAGTGAAAGTGGCCTCTTCAGAGCCCAGAATGGATTCTGACAGGACAGGAGTGCTCAAAGCCGCAGCCATTCGCACCTAGCACAGGTTCATGTCTAAACTGGCAGATTGCGTGAAGCTCCAGGAGAAACTCGGATGACTTGCAGCACCAGCTGCAAAAGGCTCGGCCACGGCGAGAAGACAATTGTTTGTCCGGCCCACGGCCCATAGCATCACCTGCAAATCTTACTCTGACCCTAGCCGCCCTGAACCACATCATGGAGCAATGAGGGGGGGGGGGGAAGGGTTGCTTAACGCTGGAAGGGCAAGCTTCTTCAACTCTAGGGTTCGTATTCTCCATCCCTTCAACTGCTGCAGGTTGAGGCGCAGGTTGCGAAGCTGTCAGAGGTGTTGGACCTGGTTCTGCCAGGAGCCAGCGCGGCGATCTGTCGGGCTCCTCGGCCCAAATCCCCAAAAGCCCCCCCCCCCCCCGGCCCTGAACACACAAAACCCTATGCCATCAGAACTATCGGGGTAGTTATTTGGGGACGTATAGCCCCACCCATGAACCTTCAAGTACCATGGTATGTGCACACCTTGAGCTGAGGATGACCCGCCTTGCACAACCTTAGCTGGCTTCTGGCTGAGCCCGTGTCCCAGCATCTGTCAGGGGCACTTCTCATGTAAGACAAGCTGTGAGACTTGCAATTGTGCAACCGTTCATGCATCATGGCAAGCAGCAGGCCAGTAGTATTATTGGCACTAAATACGTTCTTGCATATGTCCTATGTCTGCCCTTTTGTGAGACAGGTGAAGAGACAGAAGGCCTGGAAGCTCTGTTGGAAGCCTTGGAGGCCTGCCATCCCAAACCACATGGGCTTACTTCAGTGTAATCCAAGGTCAATGAGTGCGTTTAGGGTTTGAATAAGGGTTTAGGGTTGTTTCCCCCACCCAGCCCAGATCGAAAAAAAGAGGGTTGTTGAGACGAAGCAAGCTTGAATTGGAAGGGGCCCATCAAGGGATCGGAGGCCGCTGGAGGCCTAAAGAGAGTCCGGTCCAAATTCTCGGTGAGCTGGGTGGCCGGAAGCTTGGAGTTTAGTAAGCAGGGAGCACCTTGACTTGAGAAAGAGGACCGCGTCCTTGCATTCGTGGCCTGAAGGGGGTTCTCGGATGTTCTCGAAACACGTTTTTGGAATTCGAGTCGGATGGCATCATGCCTTGCCAGCTTAAAGCTTAAAACCCGAAAGGTGCCTTCGATGGTCCGCTCCATGGCTTCAGCTGCGCGCCGGAGTTTGCGCATCGAGCCTTGCTGCGGCTGTCGATGATGTTCGGAGTCGGGGTTGAGGGTCCGGTTTGGGGTAGGGCGGACATGCCTCATTCCCGTGGTGACAGCAGGGGGTTGAAGGGTTGAGCCCTCCAAAAGGCCATCGCCTGTTTGCGATTTCTTCTCTTGCCAGCTTCTCCCTCTCACTCCCTTTTTGGATGGGACAGAAGATGGCAGAGATAGCCAGATGCTGACTGCTGAGGACGTCGAGGGGGACGAAGTCAAGATTGGCTCCACGACATCAGTGTTGAGCCGAACAGTCGAGGCCGGGAAGCGCGCTGCTGTTTGGCACCCCTTAAGGACCAAATGCACCTTAAAAGGGTCCGTGGTTCATATACCTTACTAGGGATTATCGCAGTACAGGGTATATGGCCCCAATTTTTGGATTCATTTGGCCCGCAACTTTGCACATCCGCAGGAAACCACGACGAGATTTCGAGTGGGACAGACCTTTGGCGGGCAGCAGACACTGGGCGGGGAGTACCGCGGTCAGGCTTTTTGGAAGGCTCGATGGCGATCACCCTGGAGATGCAATGCGGTTGTGTCAAGCTTCCGCAGGATGGCGAGGCTGCAAATGGCGCCCAGCCGCAGCAAACACTGCAGGTGGTGAAAAACTTCGAAGCTGAAGGTGGCTTCGTGTGTTTGCGACGGTTTGGCACAGCATTCCTTTGGATAGTAAGCACATGCCACAGGCTTCCAGCTCGACGAGACGTTCAAGATCAACTCGGACGGCCGCCTGGCGCTGACGACTACGCTCAGCAGTGCCCAAAGGCAGCCAAAGCCCCAGCTCTGAACTTCAGGAACCTTCGCGAAATTTCACGATGCACTGCAACATGTAGTGTTCCATGCTGTTACACACTGTATAGCTACAACTCGGCGCAGCTGCCTCTGCTTGCAAGGTTCGGCACGCGCAGAGTGGAGGTGCACAAGCCGGAGGAACTTTCCAGTCTCTGCAAGGCTTTGGACCAAAAGGACAGTAATGACATCCGTGATCATCCGTGACCAAGCTGCCAAAATGGGCATCGTGTCGACATCTTTGCAGGACATGAGGCTAACTCAACAGATTGCTCTCCCGGGCAACATCAAAGCCCTTCCAAATGGCAGTCGGGTGGTGGGCATTGGGCCCGCAGAGGCAAGGGAAGATCACGAGGCGCCGGTCCCGATCTGCCCTTTTGATTTGTTTTGCGCAGTCTTGCGTTTTGCCTTTTGTTCTGTTGTCGCGCATGTCGAGGCCTTTGAACCTGAAAGCTTTGCACATCTGGAGAAGTTGAAGCTGCCGGCCTCCATCTTCTTGCGCGTCGAGCTCATAAGGCACGAGCCCTCTGCTCTCTTGGAAAGCTCCTCCACGTGCCTCGGCAACCATCTTTGACCGTCTGGGCCAGGAGTACGACGCAGTTTCGCCGCGAGGGGGCGTCGGAAGGCTTCGGAGCCGTACCTGCTGAGCTGCCAGAGTCCCCAGCTATGCTTTGAGAAGAAGTGCTGGTTCCATAAACCCACCGAGACAGGAGGGTTGGCTGGTTCGCCTTTATAATTGGGCCAAGGCTGGCATCTCTTCCGCCGGAAGTCCAGCAGGCCTTGGCAGACAGACAGGCCCACAGCAATTATGCTGAGTGTTTGAGCTAAGGGCTGTTGCCGCTACAAGTCGAAGTTTCCGGGACCGTTTAGGGCATTGATGGGCAACTGTCAGGATGCATCCCCGAAAGTACGTCATATTTCGGGCAGGCTGCGTCGCCTGTCTCGGCAATTTCGGGCACCTCGTCGGTGTCGGGACCTGCGTCCGTTCCAGCACCTCTCTCGGCGCCCAAGGCCAAACGAGGCGCAGCAGCTGCCGTTATGAGTGTCTACGTGTCTACGCTCCTGCTGTGTCCATTCTGCAGGTTGGCTGATGACTTGTGGCATGGGCTTGGGAACCTTGTGCCTGGGGACTTGTGCAGTGGCCGGCAAGGCGCCGGTTCCCTGTGATTAGAAGTAAGCTGGTAGTGGAGTTGGTAGCGGAGTTGGCGATTCTCTGGTGATGCCTTGCTCCGCACCAGGTGTTGCAAGTTAGCGGACGAGCCACTGGCACCTTGTGCTATGCTGCATGCTCGGCCCGCAGCCGAGCGTTTCATTGTGAGAAACAAGCGCAGCGAACGCTAAAGCAGCTCGCAGGAGCTTGTAATCTCTGTCAGGACTCTGTCCGCAAAGGGCTGCGGAGACCATGGACATCTCTGCTACCAACTGGAACTCTGAAAGGAGCCGCGGACCGTTTGGAGCCGCGGCCCCAAGCATTTCTTTCACACGGTTCACACTGTATGTCATGAGTCATCACAGTGAGAGCGGCTTGCGGATGCGCGAGCGGACATGAATGGAGTCTAAACATAACGACAAATAAATCCCTCGCCTCCCCTCGCTCGGCTTGATCAAGCCACAAATCACAAGTCTTAGCTGCTTGCTATCCTGGTCTAGCGCAGTTCTGAAGAGTTTTCTCCGACACGTGCTCAGGTACGTGGTCCAGGTGGACAGAACTGCGGGTGACGTTCTAGGCCTTCAAGTTGACGAGACGCCTGATGGTCGGCTTCTTGTCCTGGGAGTCAAGCCTGGACTAGTCCAAGACTGGAACGACACGCATCCCTCCATGCAGGCCTGGCAGATTTCAGCTCATTAGCTCGGGGTGTGTCATAGTTGGGCGAGTCGTTTCGAGTAAACACAGACCGAACCGGGCAGTGAGTTTGCAATGTCTGGGACGAACAGGTGCTGCCTGGCGACATTCTGCTCGCAGTGAATGGGCAGAAAAGAGATGCCAACGGGCTAATGGACGCTGAGCTGCAAGCCTCAGACCATCTCAGACAGGTCATGGGAGACGCACGTTGTTTTTGAGAGACCGCAGCAGGATTTGGCATATACATATACATGTACATATACATATACATATATACATATACATATACATATACATATACATATACATATACATATACATATACATATACATACATGTTATATATATATATATATATATTTATTTATTTATTTATTTGGTACCCCCCCCCCCCCGGGACCTACCTTTTTTAAAGCTTGCATCGTTCAGGTTGGTCTCGTGGGGTGGGGGAGAGATAAAAAAATATAATATTAATGAGGCTCCTGGAGGGAGCAATTTCAAATGCCCCTTGGGGCCGAAATTTTCTAAGTACAAATGGTATCCCTGTACTTTGTCTCCCGGGGCCCCCGGGGGCCACTTTAAAGTACTTTAAAGTGGCCCTGGATCCAAGATCCAAGATCCAAGATTCCCCAAAAAGTTTTTTTGGAATCTTGGATCTTGGATCCAGGGCCACTTTAAAGTACTTTAAAGTGCCCCCTGGGGGCCCAAATCGTCTAAGTACAAATGGTGCCCCTGTACTTTGTCTCTCGGGGCCCCCGGGGGGGCACTTTAAAGTACTTTAAAGTGCCCCCTGAGGCCCAAATAGTCTAAGTACAAACGGTGTCCCTGTACTTTGTCTCCCGGGGCCCCCGGGGGCCACTTTAAAGTACTTTAAAGTGCCCCCGGATCCAAGATCCAAGATCCAAGATGCCCCAAAAACTTTTTGGGGAATCTTGGATCTTGGATCTTGGATCCTGGGGCACTTTAAAGTACTTTAAAGTGCCCCTTGGGGCCCAATTCGTCTAAGTACAAGTGGTGCCCCTGTACTTTGTCTCCCGGGGCTCCCAGGAAAGAACTTTAAAGTACTTTAAAGTGCCCCCGGATCCAAGATCTTGGATCTTGGATCCGGGGGCACTTCAAAGTACTTTGAAGTATCCCCTCGGGGGCAATTCGTCTAAGGAGAGAGGCTCTGGGCGCCATAATCCTCAACATTTCAGTTGTATAGCAACTCGATACCTGTACTCAGGTCGTAACCTTCAGTCTTTCAACCAAGACAGCAAAAAGGATTGCCCCTCCCTCCCCCTCCCTCCCCCTCCTGTCCGCTCCGCTCCGCTGCGCTCTCTGGTCGTTTGCTAAGGGCTTGTTCAAGGCTTATAATTGAAACCTTATCGGTTAAGGGATTAGGGTTTGAACCAGAAGGCCCGAAACTCTATAGGATTTAACCCCTAAGCCTTAAAGCCTATAGTGTTTAGGCTCAAACCTTAAACCCTAAACCTTTTAATCATACATAGGGTTTGAAGGTTAAGCAATTAGACTTAATCCTTAATCGTAACCCATTAAACCCCATAGTGAAGGTCTAAAGGTTTAGGGTTTAAGGTTTAGGCATGTAAAACTAAGCCGGCAAGTAAACCTACACCCTTGGCCTTGAAGCCCTGGGGTTAATGGGGTTAAGGTTTAGAGGTAGAGTTTAAACCCACGTGTTTAAGGCTTAGGCATTTACACGTTGACCCTAAACCCTTTAGGTTCAGAATCCGAAAACCTTGTAGGACGCTAAAAGGTTCAAAGGTGTTAAGCCTATAGGCGCTGATGGTATACTTGCCCAGGCCTTAGGTTGTTTGAACCATTTAGCCCTATAGGGCTGGGCTAAAGGTTTAAGGGTGTATCTCTAAAACCCTCACGGGGTTAGCCCTCCAGGGTGTACATCCTACAGGGTAAAAAGTCTAGGGTTTAAGATTCAAAGCATTGCCTGTAGAATCAGAACCTTACGAACCTCCAGGGCTTCATAAACCCCATAAACCTTAAATCCCATAGGGTTATGCCTATGTTCGTAGGGCTTGCCTCCTGTGGAAATGCAGAGAGAACACAGTATACGTATTCACATCATGTATGTACATGGGGTATATGTATTGTAAATCAAATACAGACGATGGAGAAGGAAGGATGGCAAGTCTTGAATCATAAGACTAGGAAGAATTCGAGTGCATAGGGTGATGCGAAAAGTCATTTACAGTAAGTGTGGGGGACGTGAGAATACTGTGAGCAATTATCCTTTCCCGCTCACCACCCTTAATGTTTCCCGCAGTCCAAAGCAACTGGGTATCAAGTCCATACTATTTGAATTTCACATTAAAGGGTCATACCCTAAAACGTTGTCATTTGGAAGTCGTTCAGCTTTACGTCTGATATGAATCTGTTGGGCTTCAAATTCATATTTAAACCAAATTGCTAGTAACAGCCTACACCTTAAGTGAACTTCCTCTGAGAAGTCTTCTGGCCTCGTTCGTAATATTAATAGAAAAAAACTAAATTCCAAGACTACCCTGTCCAATCCTCCTCTGGGCCTCGTTCGCATGTGGGTTGGCTTCGATGTTTAAACTTAAATTGCACACCTTCTGCATCCTCTTACGGGGCCTGACAAAACAAGATGTCATTAGATCCTAGATTCAGCGGTCACAGCCTGAAACCCTCATCTGGGCTTGCTTCGCAAGTTATTGAAAAAATGAGCTTAGAAAAGAAGGCCACGCACTAGGAAATTATCGTCTGGGCTGTTTGTGAGTAAACCGAATTTTAACAAGAACATTAACTGGCCACAGCCCAAGACATCCACTGCAAAAATTAACCAACAACACTCAAAAAGGTAGATCCCGGAGGGGGGGGGTAGCATTTATTTATTCATTTATTTACATACAATTTGTTTGGTTAAGTCAGTTTTTATCACACATGTTATCTGCTCCCAGGAGATTTGCCGGCAGCTGCAACCCTTGGAGCTGCGGCTGTGTAGGCAACAGCCTGGGGTGCCTCCAGCAAAGGCGCATAGCCTAATAGCGCAGGGCACAACTTTCGTTTGACGTTCCCCTATGTCAAGCGGGTCATTCTTGGCAGGAACAAAAATCGGAAGCCGAGCGTTCTGCAGGCGGATTCGTCGGCCATGTACTGCACAGCTGTACATTTACCTGTAAATTGCTCGTGCGGGTGTGCACGTAGGGTTGTAGTTGCTTGGCCTTAACGCGAGGCGGGCGACCCAATGAACCAGAGCCGCTGAGTCCGAGCTCCTCCGAGGATGAGGAGTCGGTGGTGTTCATGTGCTTGACACAACAAGGCACTGCAAAAAGGCGTTGTAAGCATGCACAGAGCGCATCTGCTACGGGGTGGGAGGGGGCCCCCTGTTCGGAATCAACCCACCATGGGGATCCAACCCACAATTGCGAGAAGGTAATGGCACGCCTCGCGACCGCAGAGCGCGGGCGCGCACGTAGGTTCAGGAACGTCGTTGGCTGTGTTTGAAGATTTGCTGTTTTGAGTGTGCTGTAGGCACTGCTGAAAAGTACTGTGTGCCGTTTGCAGAACACACCCGAAAGAGGCCTCAATGCGCAAAACTTGTTCAGTTGACACGGTCGCTTGGCTTGGCTACCTTCGTACCAGCGCATCTTGTTCCACAAAGGCCAAGCATCCTTGTGCTGTATGTTGTCGAAAGAATGTAGCCAGAGGCAAAAGCGCTGTGAATAGCAGTGTTTTGGGCACGCCAAATATCTTGTGCCGTATGTTGTAAGACGAGGCAAAAAGCGCTGCAAACTCTAGTGTTTTGGGAGGTTTTAGGCACTGTCACCATGTGGCTGGACGTTATTCAACCCCACCCCCCAAACCAAACCCCTTCCCGACCCTCCCCCCGAACCCAGCACCGTTAGCCAAAGCAAACATTCAGCAGTTACTGTTCCATGTCTCGGAAGAGAAGGTTGCCCGGTTCAGAAAACTTGCACCCCCACTTTGCACGAGATATCGACGCAGAAGCTATTTCCCCCAACTTGCTTTATACTTTATACTCTGTACTCGACCTCCTCATGGAGCTCCCCACCCCCACCCGAATGTTAAAACTTTAAACTTGAGCGAAGCTCATTTAAGCTCTTTTTCTGTCTCATGTCAATGTTTTGGAGCACATCGCGCGCAGAGTCGACGAGTTTGCTTAAACTTTCTTCTGTCTTGCTTCGTCCTCGAAGCTCCCGCAAAAGTTTCAGCTCTGCCAAGTGCAGGAGGCGATGCCTTTGAAGCCGACGGACTTACCTGGCAAGGTGCGAAAGTCCTTGGTTGGTTGGCTTGGGGGTGCGGTATTTTTTTGTCAGCTCTTGAGTCTTGAATGCTGTGGTTGTTGCGCAGCCAGGCTCCGCAAGCTGCAGGCCAGGGGACAGGCAAGCTTCAATCGAAGTCGGTGCGATTTGACGACCGGGAAGCTGCAGGACCCTCTTGCTTCTTAGCTCAGCAGCCCCGTCACCCGCCTTCTCCATGTGGCAGGATCTGTGGACAAAGCCGCAGCACGCAGCAACCCTCCACAGCCGAGAGAAGCAGCTGCCTCCAAACAAGGCAGGTCTGGCCGCCGCTTACAGGTTTAGGGATTAGGGTTTAGGATTGTTACAGCTGACACATAGATACACGGCATGATGCAAACACACAGCATACAGTGTCCACAGATCACTCGGGAAAATATTCGGCCCTGGATGTCGCAGTGCAATTGCTGTGATAATCGCGGTGCCGAAGGTGTCGAGGGAGGAAGCAGCTCGAGCCGCGCTTGGCGAAGCCAGACGGAGCCCCTTGTGTTCTTTCCATTCTAGCTCCCCATCATCTGCATGGCTCTGTTGAGTGCCACTCGCTACTGCAGGACCCCCTCGTGGTTGCAAAGTTCAATGATCCACGTGGGAGGCACCAACTTGGTCAGCACTCATGCTCTTGTAGGAGAGATGAGGAGAGAAAACTGTCTCATGTAGCCAGATACGTCCCATGCAGTCCTCAGCAACTCAGCAGATAGGCTTACATATGCCGCTCTTTATGTGTGACGTGAACAGGCTGGGCGGCGGTTTGGGCATTGTGGCTTTCTCTCGTTTTGGCACTGATGGCCCCATTGACAAGCTGTGCCGCGGGCAGCGTTTGTCAAACAGCTTCGAGTCTCAGCGAAGACTTCAGATCAGCTAAGCTACCGGCATGTGGCGAAACCTGCCACTTCACGTCTCGAAAATAAGGATCAAGGACC